GCCCCCAATAAAATGATCTTTTAATAAAAAAGAAAGAAAGTGGGAAGAGAATGCTTTGAATCAGGGGCTCAAGTGGGAAGAAAATGCTTTGAAAATGATGACGGCGGTATATGTGCAAATGTGCTTGACACACTAGATGAATGTACAGATTGTGATAAAAGCTGTAAGGGCCCCCAATAAAAGTATGGGGGTGGGGGAGAATGTAACCTCCGTGCTTGTTACTGCTGTGCAACGGCCACCACATCGGAGACTTACTCTCAGTTCAGCATCCTTCTCTCCCTTTCTTTATTTCCCTCGCCTACACCACCCTACAATACCTGTCCACAACAGGCTCACTCAAGCTCTTCTCACTAAATTGGGACTTTGCGCAGCCAAAAACAGCTTCGTACCCTCCCCTGCCCCTACTTGGAGATTTTTATTAGAGTTGCTCCCCGCTGCAGACATTCAATGCTACAGAAATAGGCTGATAAAACTACTTCCCCTCCCTCAGCTTTAGTGTACTAACTCTTCCTCTTGTGTTGCCTCCTCCCTCAATAGTTTACAACCAACCTTTTCCTGAAGCAGATGTTGGAGAGATACCAAAACAACAGTGCTCCAAATAATGATGACAAGTGGAAGAACAATGGAGTCACCAAAACCTGGGACAGGCTCATGCTTCAGGTAATGGCTCACCATCTGGAAAGATGCCACTTTGTTTCTAAGCCAGTGACCAAGTTAGGGGGGAAGTCTGTATATGAGGGTTACTGTCATAGATGGAATTGTCTTCAAAAAGAGTCTGGGATGGAAAATCCATCTAGTTCATTGGCAAGAGGGTCTTCACATGACTCAGGGGAATGCCTAGATGTATATTTTATTTCAAGTCATGATATTGATTGACTTCCATTTACAGGGTGATATTGTAAAAGATTCAGATTAATCACACATTCTGCCTCTTAGAGCTCAGGTGTCACTGATGTAAATCAAAAACAGTGCCTCTCCTCATCGCCCCCAGTGAACGCTGTGAAAATTGTTATCTGTGTTTCTTATTTCATAACTTCCATACTTCCTGTGGGCTGGTCCTTGACTTTATTTGACCCTCCAGTTTTCTGTCATTGAAAAGCATACCATCTGCCCATGTTTACTTCAAGTAGCATCAACAGTTCAAGTCTTACTTGAAGGAGGGCGAGAGTTAGAAGCACCAAAGGTAAATACTATTACATACACAATTCTGCACTAGCCATTTTCTGTGTGTAGGTACATGGACAGACGCAGAGGCTGAAAGGATGTGGGGGAGAAATGGAACTACACCCATTAATATATATAGGGTTACCAGAGGATATTGTGCCTTTGCTGAAAATACAGCCATGATTGTGATGGATGTGATGTTCAACCAGACCTCTTGATGGGTTGTGTTATGAGGACTGAGGGCTCAGAACCATGGTCTTGGGACACCAAGGTCAATTGACATAACACACTCCACAAATTTCCGACATCCTACTTTGAAGAATTGTGACTGGAATCTAAAAGGCTGGTGAGCAAGTATGTAAGGTGCAACTATTGGTCTGTCCTTGTCCTAATGAAAGAATAGTGAAGACACAGTGTGTTAGGCTGTGTTGACTAGAGAAACAAATCCAGATACACACATATATGTGCAAGAGAGAGCTTTATATCAAGAAGTAATTACATATCAAGCAAACATCCCAGCCCAGTCCAGATCATGTCCTTAAGTCCAATACTAGCCCACAAATCCCTCTTCAGATTCTTGTAGCCACATGCAATGATGTAAAGTGCAGGAAAATCACAGACTGGTGAAATGTCATGTGGATCCAGTGGCAAAGAACACATCTCTAGGAGTCTGGTGGGTCTCCATGTGGCTCACCAGCAAGAAGGTGAAGCAGAGTCAGGGAAGGAGGTTCCCAGGACCCTCCTTATGAGAAGGGCATGCCCACAAGGAGGCACCATCAGGCTGTGACCAGATTGACAGGCTAGACTCCACCCCTACACATTTATATCTTCAAGTGTGTGTAACTACCACACACATGAAAACAATTAGTCCCACAGACTAATGGGCCATGTGAACATTCACTTCCATGACCCAGAAGAACTAGATGGTGCCCCACTACCATTACTAAATGCTGTGAAAGGAATCACATTAGAAGGCTGTGGCTAGGGTGAGGGGGAAACTAGGAACAAATTTCAAAATCGTAGAAAAGACCAGGCTTCTTGATCACCTAAACTCTGGTATAACCCCTGAGACTGGGGCTCTTAGGTCTGGAAATGAACTCAATCTCATGGCTCAATTTTCAGCCAAATAATATGCAGGTCTACAAGTGGAAGAATAACAGCAAGGCGGAACACACATTTTAGAATAATGAGCCATTTGAAATTTTAAAAGCTGGCATTTATGCAAGGACAAAGTTTAGAAGGGTTAAGAAAGAAGTGGGAATGGAAAGAGGAAACAGAGATGGAAGGGGTGGGATAAGTGATGTTACATTGTGGAGGCTGCAATCAACAAAATGAAACAAATTGTGTTTGACTTGCTGAATAAGAAATTTACCTTCTCTGTAAACTTTCAGCCAATTTATAATAACGTGGTTTTTTAAATCCAAATCTTCCTGAATACCCATCATCACCCTGTCAAACCTGCATCATATCCCCATCATTCTAACAGCACAGAGACAACCCAAACCACCCAGTTCCTTCTGTCTATTCACAAGTGATTCAAAAGCCAAAGATACCAACTTATTCCCTCAATCCTATCTCATCAGACAAGTATGTCAGTGATCTAAGTCATGGAGGAACGACTACCAGGGAAGCTGGTAAACATTTTTAAACACAGCGATTTCTTTTTCAAGTAGAATTTTATCTAGGCCATTCCCTGAGTTAAAAATAGAAAAGTAAAATGAGAATAATAATTTGCAGCTCTTCCATAACTAATTTTTTTAATTTAACATTCTGATTCTCAATTTGCTCATATTAATTGCTAATGTTATATTATATTATTAGAATAATTATATTCTCTAACATTGTTGTAATAATAATTATTATTACTTGTAATAATTATTTGTAATAATAAGTATTACAAATAACAATTATTATTTGTAATAATAATTATAATTATTTGTAATAATAATAATAATTAACACTTATTAGGAGTACCTATGGTCCTTATGAGCAAGAACCAATGGTGTTGAAGGAAGAAGTCCAAGCTGCACTGAATGCATTAGCCAAAAAGAAGGCTCCGGGAATTGACGGAGTACTTATTGAAGTATTTCAACAAACTGATGAAGCACTGGAAGCACTTACTTGTCTATGCCAGGAAATTTGGAAGACAGCTACTTGGCCTACTAACGGGGAAAAAAATCCATTATTTGTACCCATTCCAAAGACAGGTAACACAACAAAATGCTCAAACTATAGAACAATGTCACCGATGTCACATATAAGGAAATTTTTGCAGAAGTTCATCTAAGAAAGGTTGTAACAGTGCACTGACAGGGAGCTGCCTGAAGTTCAGGGCAGATACAGGAGAGGACATGGAATAGGGGATATATTGTTGATGTCAGATGGATCTTGGTGAAAGCAGAGAAGACCACAAAGATGTTTACTTGTGTTTTATTGACTATGCAAAGGCATTTGACCATTTGAGTCATAGCAAACTGTGGATAGCCTTGAGAAGAATGAGAATTCCAGAACATTTGATTTTCCTCATCCAGCGCTTGTACATGGATGAAGAGGCAGTGGTGCTAACAGATCAAGGGAATGCTGCATGGTTTTAAATTAGGACAGGTGGGCATTCGGGTTGCATTCTCTCACTATACTTACTCAATCTGTATACTGAGCAAATCATCAGAGAAGCTAGATTATATGAAGAAGAAAGTGGCATCAGGATTGGAAGAAGGCTTATTAACAACCTGCAGTATGCAGGTAACACAGGATTGCTTGCTGAAAGTGAGAAGGACTTGCTGATTAGGATCAAGGATGGCAGTTTTCAAGGGTTGCAGCCTTCAATATGGACCACAACTGGACCAACAGCCAACATCATGATAAGTGGGGAAAAGATGGAAGTTGTCAAGGATTTTGTCTTGCTTGTATCCACTACCAGTGCTCATGGAAGCAGCAGTCAAGAGATCAACAGGCAGGTTTCATTAGGGAAATCTGCTGCACAAGACCTCTATAAAGTACTGAAAAGCAAGGATGTTACTTTGAGGACTAAGGTGTGTCTAACCCAAGCTACCAATGGGAAATGGCATTTTCCATTGCCTCATATGCGTGTGAAAGTTGGAGACCGCACAAGAAGACTGAAGAGCTGAAGCAGTTGACGTGCGGCGCTGGTGAAGAATGGTGTAAGTGCCATGGACTGCTTGCTAAACGGACAAATCAGTCTGTCTTAGAGGAAGGACCGCCAGAGTACTCCTTGGAGGCAAGTATGGTGAGACCTTGCCGCACATCCTTTGGACATAGTGTCTTGAGAGAGCAGTGCCTGGAGACGGACATCCTGCTTGGGACCGTGGAGGGGCAGTGACCGAGAGGAAGGCCTCCATGAGCTGGGTGGACACCGTGACTGCAACCACGAGCTCAAGTGTAGAAACAATTGCAGGATCAGTGAGGACCCAGCAGCGTCTTGTTCTGCTGTGCACAAGGTCATCGTGGGTCTGAAGACACTCGATGGCATCTAACAGCAGCATGGGCTGGGCACTGTCCTAAACGCCTTAAATATGTTAGCTCATGTATTAATAAACACATTAATAGTGATTTTAGTGTTTATAATAACGATTATTTTTAATGTTGTATAACATTTCTTTATTCTTCTAATAGAGTCTCATAAATAATTATTGTTTGTGATTTATAGTAATATATTGTTTTATTTTAGTAATAATATATTTAAATAGATTAGCTCACAACAACTCTATATTCACCCCAAGTTTAATGAAACTAAGTCTTGTTTAGGTTAATTTGTCAAAAGATGACAGAGCTCATTAAGGACCAAGAAAGTAATAAATGTAAAATATCATTTTGTAAACTCTAAAATGTAAGTTATTAATACCTCCAGCTCTAGTCTGAGAGTTCTAGAAAAATTGTGATACACTTTCCATAATATAGTCTTTCTCCATAAAAATCTCAGTTACTACATGGATGTTTCTAGCAAAGATCAAGAAAGAGAATTTTGTATCTTTCTCCCGCTGACAGGACAATTGCTGTGGTGTAAATGGTCCATCTGACTGGCAAAAATACACATCTGCTTTCCGGGCTGAGAATAACGATGCCGACTATCCCTGGCCTCGTCAGTGCTGTGTTATGAACAATCTTAAAGAGCCACTGAATGTGGAAGCCTGCAAACTAGGGGTGCCTGGTTATTATCACAGTCAGGTAAGCCCTCCCTTCCTCCAAGACCTGCCACAAGATTCTTCTGCGTCTCATGAGGAAATACTGGTTAACGGCAGGTCATAATCTTGCCGTAGGAAATTCGACATCTTTTTCCCTAAACTGTTTCCTTTTCTGTGAGTAAAAGGATGCAAATTGATGTTGAGCTGATTCTAGCAGTCATATTTTAACCAAATTAACAAAACGGAATAATTGATGTCGCACAATCCAACTCTGCTTAAATGAAAAGTACAATGTATATATTTAGTATTTCCAAAAATACTTACAGTAGACAAAGACTCGCCCAGTTTTTGAAAAATGTAAATTCAAGGGGTGATACGCTAAAAGATTGTGTCGCCATTTCCAAAACAATGACCATTGCTGAGGATTGTGATCATTACATCTCCACATTCCTCATTCGGGGGTCATGTTGTTGCCAGTTGCCACGTGATTGCCTCTACTCAGGAGGGCACTACACCACACACCCTGAGTGCGCACTCTTTCAGGCCATTGGCATGCGTCAGTCCATTGTTGCAGCCTTGGTACAGTGCCCCCCAACCTAGGGAGGGGCTCATCTCCCAGCACCATATCGGACAACATTCAGTGGTGATCCATGGGATTGTTAATGGCTAGTTTTCAAAAGCAACTCATTAGGCCTTTTTCCCCACTCTACTTTACTTTGGATGCTCTGCTGAAACCAGTCCATCATGGGTGCCCTGTGAGCGTTTGAAATACCAGTGGCATAGCTTTGAGTATTATAAGACCCACAAGCTACCACAGTATGACAAATGGATAGATGGGTGGTGGAGCTGAAGGTTGTTCTGACTGGGTACCATCCAATGAATTCCGACTCAAAGCAAACCCATAGGCTATCGAAGAACAGCTCCCATTGGGCTTCCTAGGCTGTGAACTTGACAGGAGCAGGTTCTCAGAGAACTGCTGGGTACGTTCCAAGTGTTAATCTCTGTGTTGGTAGCTAAGCACTTAACCATTGCTCCTTTTCACTGTAGAGTCATTTTAATGGAATATAAAGTTGGTAACTTAGGTGGAAGGTCGTTTACATAGAGATGACTTTTGAGCTTAATGATGATCATGGGCATTAACACTTGTTGAACACTTAATAAAGGCTAGACGCTATTCCAAGTGCCATACGTGTATTAACTCATTTGATACTCAAAGGCAACCTCTAATATGAGCCCTATTTTACACGAAATGGGGATCTGAGATATAGATATAATTATCACATTGCCTGAGGTCACACAGCTAGTAAACGAAACAGGAAGAAAATCCCAGTAGTTTTGCTCAAGAGCCTAGCCTCAAAGCCAATACAGAACTTGATAATATTCCTGGAAAGTCCTGATGAGACTCTCATATCCCTGGAGCCAGCCTCCGAAAAGTGTACAACGCGTCATAACTTAGCACACTGAGAAAATCGAGGGGTGTGCCAGCCAGGTCACAAAATAATTGACAACTGTCAGGCTTTTTGCTTTGGGAGTAAATCAGCCATACTGCACTTTCAGAATGAAGAACACCGCAGTGCTGATCACAGGGCCACATTTGGTTGCGTGTCTGGACTCTGAGTGGCTGCCTCAATCCAGGAAAAGGACATGGGAATAATAGAGGTTATTATTTGGGGGAGTGTAATAAGGCAAAACTTTCCATAGCATTCATTCACAAAGGCAGAACCATGCCTACCAGATTAACATGTAAGAATAAAGCAGAGAAAGGGATTATTTTACAGAGGGCTTCAAATCAACCCTCATTCAGCTTTACAGGAATATTGTATTGGCACTGTATTCACATGTGGGGTCTGTAGGATTCAGCACCGACTTGAGAACACCCGACAACAGGGCTCAAGTAAAAAGCAAATGTTTTGAGAATGGTGAGGGCAACAAATGTACAAAGGTGCTTGACACAATGGATGGATGGATGGATTGCGATAAGAGTTGTACGAGCCCCCAATAAAATGATTTTTTTAAATAAATAAATAAAATGTATTGCCTATATTCACAGTATGCAATGTAATTAACCCTCTCAGGATTAATAAGTGCTTTCATTATTTCATTGCTGGCCCATGACCTCGCATCTTGATTGGATTTTAGTGTGTACAAACTGTAATAATCTCTGAAAGGGACAAAAAAGGAGTTTGCCGTCAGATGAGCAGTTCATTTCAAAGAGACACTTTCTTTCTAAATATCATAACACTTAAGCCATAAGGACAAACTGAAAACCATTTACTTTCCTCAAATTTTAGGAAAAGGTAAAAATTAATCCTTTCTGCTGTTGCCTTCAGGGATCTCACATACATTTTGACGACCCTCCCTGACAGCTCCTTGGCCTCAACTGTCCTCAACATCTCCATCTCCACTACTCACCAACTACATCTCACCTTCAGACTCACCACTGTCCTTCACCAAGTCTGCGAATCCCTAAGCGTCTCTACGTCATCGACTCTCCATGCTGCTTATGTTCTCAGGCTCAGTCTTTCTTCCTTTTCAACACCGTCTCTCACCCTGCAATCCTTTCTGATGCTCCCTATCCTGGTCTCCATATGGTCTCTGAGTCCCTGGTTCGGCCACTTCCCCCTACCACAATTATGTTCCACAAAGTGGATGTGCCACCTCAGTAACCAGTATACGCTACTTCTATTATTGCAGTTAACATCTTCAATTGTATCGTACTTCTTTATTCATCCATCTGCCTTTTCTATGAGCCTCCTGAGGACCATTATTCCACTATCTACTTCACATTACATAATGTTTGACATAATATAGGTTTAACATAACATAACTTAACATAAATCATGGGGGATGAATGAATGAATAAGATGGGCAAATGAATAAGTAAATAACTTCTTTCCACACCCATATTACAGCTTTTCAAGACTTACAACACAAAAATGTTGCTACAGCCACAAGGCTAACGTAAATGGTGGAGTCTTCTACTATTGCAATCTCTACATTGCAATAGTAGAGATCAGCCAGAATTTTACATAAAATTTCAGATGAAAATATATTGATTTTACTTCAGCATCCTTCTGCCCCAGAAACACTATGTGCAAATTCTGAGCCTCCACTTATAGAACATTATGAATGATGGGGCTAAGGAAGATCCAGACAAGCCCCTCTACAATGATGGAGGAGCCTAGACTAAGCGAGACTGCAAAATCCATTGCCATCGAAGTGATTCTGACTCATAGGGACCCGATAGCACAGAGTAGATGCTCCCTGGTGGATTTCTGAGATGGTAACTGTTTACAGAAACAGAGATCCTCACCTTTCTGTCTTGAAGTGGCTTATGTTTAACAGCCCACCAAGACTTCACTAAGTGAGGATAAGTGAAAAGAAGAAGACTCTTGTCTTCAAGTTCCATGAGGACATAACCCATTTCTGTCTTGTCACAACTGAAAGCCTAGCATCCAGCCTAGTATCTGGCACCGGCCAGGCATCTGTGGGATCTTGTGCATATGATTGAGTGAATGAGCTCCTCCTAGCTTTGCTGGATAAATCAAGCAAGTACTGGCTATAGGAGTGTTCTGTGAACCATCAGATGTGTCACAGTGTTACTGTGTAGTCACTACTCCATATCATGCATTTATTCATTCTAAAAATGTGCCTACTATGTGCTAGGCACTTTTCTATGTTCTACGAAAGATTCAACAATGACTAAGACAAAATCCTTGCCCTCACGGAGCTTGAATTTTAGTGTGGGATACAGGCAGTTGTGCGATTCAAATAATTTAACAAGTATGCTGCCCTAATGACTGTTTTAAGTATAAAAAATATGTATGCTGGAGAATAATTTATTGTTCCATGAAGCTAATACTTAAGTAAGAACAATAAATGAGGTACATAAAACTAGATTATGTTGTAAGACTTTTAAAATATTGATAACAATATTAAATAATACCTGACAAAAACAATAAAACTGTTACTTAAGATATTTACATATTGCTTCTTGATTGGCATCCTCATTTACATTAAATATTCTTCGCTTTTATCCGAGTCTCTTCGGCTATTTTTCAATTTAGGAGTAGGATCCCATTCCTTTAGTGGTAGGCCACTTAGACAATAGTCATTGTGTTTGATACATTAAAAACAATTAGGTGACTTCTCTTCTTTGAATGTATGGTGTTCATCTTTGAGAAACCCCTTTCTGCTTTTGCTGAACTTACAGCAATTGTTCTGACAATATTTTTAGCTCTTTGAACATTTTCAGGAATTGCATAATTCACTCATAACATCTCTTTGGCATTTGGAGCATAACTCAAAGATGAAACAGATAACAGAGTGTCACCCTCTGGTTGTTTTCCTCTTTGCATAATATGTTTACTGAAGTAGCAAATGCAAAGGAATAAAAATGCTGTATCTCATCAAAAGTACAACAAATGTTATGAATAAAGAAATATTGCGAGTACAGTTCCGTCTAATTTTTTAAACATATGGACGAAATGAACATTACTACCGGTGCTTCGAACACAGTGTTGTGCAGATAAACACTAAAAAAGAGTAAGGAATATAAATTTGTGATTTCCATGTTGGGCAGCTGCCCAGCCACCCACCTTAGAAAAAATCCTGATTACAAGTGCTATTTTAACAACCAATTTGCTGAACTCGAAAAAAAAAAATAGGTATCAGTTCTGCTGCATAGGTGTGAAACAACTGTTATCTCACCACAGGCAATCCGTTGCCAAACAAAACCTAATGAAATTCCAGGTACTGATAGATGTCATGAGTAAGTAAAAGGAAATGATGTAGGAAGAGATATTTTTGGCCAGGCTGAAGCACTTTTACTTAAAAACGAATGAGTGAAAAGAAACCATACCCTCTCCCAAATCACCAATAAGATATTTTGGCATAGAGGATCACAGCCCAACACATAACCACTATGCCACCAGGGTTCCTGGTAAAATATTTTGGGAATGAAAAAATCATGTTTTATTAAGAATAGTTTGCAAGGTCTACAACTCAACAAGAAAAAAAATTCATGGTAAAAGAGCAACACTTTTGTTAGATTGGGTGATAAAAAAGATTCAAATAATAACTCCCCTAAACGGGGACAAAAATGTAGGCGAAGGGATACAGTGATCAGTGTAAGATATGAAAAAAATAGAATATTATTTATTAAGGGTTCATAAGGATGGTAGGGTGGGAGAGGGAGGGAATACAGTAAAGAGGAGCTGATATGAAAGGGCTCAAGTAGAAAGATAATGTTCTGAAAATGATGATGCCAGTGTATATACAAGTTCACTTGATATAATTGATTTATAGATTATTATAATATATGTAGGAGCCCCAATAAAATTATTTAAGATTCTTAAAAATTGAAATAAATGCAATATTGAATATCTTGTCCAACAAAATATTTACATTTAAATTCCCTCAGCAAAGCCGTGTTAGTAACTGGCTATCCACAAGGTTGTGAAAAGAAGCTGTGTATGTTGAAATGGACTTAGAAATGGCATTTATTGAGGTAGCAAGCTGATTTTCCACCAATCTCTCACATCTTTGTTTCTGGTTCTTTTCTTACCCCTGTGGAATCCCCGTTCCTCTAGGGCTGCTATGAACTGATCTCCGGGCCAATGGACCGACACGCCTGGGGCGTTGCCTGGTTTGGATTTGCCATTCTTTGCTGGACGGTGAGTCTACCTGGCACATACATTATCAACACATCTTTTTGTCGCTTAGAAGATGATGACGAGGAGAGGCTTTGAGAGTCCATTAGTTACGTCTACCAGACTAGAAGGTGTGGAAGCAACGTCTCACACCTAGGTTAGTGAAGAAGTTTTTTTTTAAAACATTGGATTCTCACAGAAAGTAGGTAAACATCCCCAAACCAAGGAAGGTGCCCTGCCCTAGGGGCCACTCCCTTTTCTTGACTGACTGGAATCCATTGGTCTTTGGGGGGGTGGAGAGCATCTTTCCCTTACTCAGACTCCTTTCTGAGATCTACTTTGTCAACTCCATACAATGAGATACCAAAGACTGCCCTTCCCTAATCTGCCTACCAGTTTCCATCTGGTTGATTCCAACTCTGGGCAGCACCGGTGTGTCCAAGTAGAACTGTGTTCCATATGGTTTCAGTAGCTGTTGATTCTGGCAATCGATCACAGGTCTTCCTCTCACAGTACTTCCGGATGGACTCAAACCTCCAGTATTTCAGTTAGCAGCCCAGCATGTTAGCCATTTGCATCAATCTATGAATTTACTGATGGAACAATTTATTAATCTGCCTAGTTCCTCCCCAAAGCTTCCTCTGCCAGTCTCAGCTTTCCTATTGGCCTATCTAGCCAACTGCAGCAAACCATTGGTTCAGTGGCTCTCAACCCTGGCTACATGTTAAAACCTCCTGAGAAGTTTTATTTTGTTTTAAAACATTCCTGGGCTCCACCCTTATATATTCTGATTCGGTTAATCTGGAGGTAGAATCTACACTCACTTCCCTCCTGACCGCCCCTTCTCCCCACACACACATGATTCTAATTTGTCAATATTGTGAATCATTACACTAGGGCAGCAGTTCCAAACTTTTTGGCTTCAGAAACCCTTTATACTCTCCAAAATTATTGAAGACTCCAAAGAGCTTTTGTTTATGTGGATTATGTATATTTTCTCTACTTAAAATGAATACAGAACTTTCCAAATGATTTGTTTAAAAATAATAAGTCCCAAAAAAGTTTAAAAAATAAGCCATTACATTATTAACATAAACAACATATTTTTGTGAAAAATGACGATTTTCCAAAGTTAGCATTGTTTAACATTTTTGCAAATTTGTTCAATGTCTACCTTAATAGAAGATAGCTAGATTTTCATGTTTGCTTCTTCATTGAATCCGTTTTAATATGTTGCTTAGCTGAAGTTTTTTAAGAAAATCCATATTTACATATATCTTTGTTTTAATAACTTTGTGGGAAGATAATTGTATATATTCTTTGATAAGTCAAACACACTGCCACTGAGCTTATTGGATACTATATTTAATATGATTCTATGTCAATAGGCTACAACTCATACTCTGTTACATTAAAATTCATTGGTGTGTCTTGTGCTTTGCAGGAATCTACCCATGTTATAGAATCATGCGTTTGGAAAAAATATTAGTTCACAGTGTTATGAACAGATAAAGATCTTGACAGATTTCTTTGTACAATTTTCTTTATACAAACACCCATAGATATTGATATTCCCACATTGGGAAAGACTTTAAGTGTTAGAATGTTATCTAGCTCATGGTGGCAGAACATTCTAGAAATGTGCTAAAGGGTCAACACTTAATAAAGTTAGTAATTAATGCTTCATCAAGGACAATCTCAAGGAAAACCAGGGTTGTTTTTTTTTAATGGCAAATGCATACCAGTGAAAAAGGCAATGACGACTTAGACTTTAATAAATCTATTGATTCTTTTTTTTTTTTTAAA